GACAGGTAGTTCGGAAGCATTGTGCCGCCTCCTCACTGCCTGTTTTAACCCCTTGAACCCTACACTATGTGCATTGCAAGTAGTTGTGGGGGGGCTTATGGAGTGGTCCCAATTCAAGGGTATAATCCCTGCCATGGCGGCGAAGCGAACCATCGCAGCCACAGCATGTGTACACCCCTGGCCACTGCCCTGGCAGCTAAACCCACATGGAAAAAATATATATTTTAAGTATATTTTAAAAATATTCTTCCCAAATATATTGCCATATATTTGAAATACTACAATTTTGGTCATATTCAATACATTTCAATATATATTTCAATAAATATATATATATATACAGTCATGGCCGAAATTGTTGGCACCCTTGATATTTTTCCTGAAAATCATGTATTTCTCACGAAACGTATTGCATTAACACATGTTTTGCTATACACATGTTTATTCCCTTTGTGTGTATTGGGACAAAACAAAAAAAGGGAGGAAAGAAAGCAAATTCGACATAATGTCACACAAACCTCCAAAAATGGGCTGGACAAAAGTATTGGCACCCTTTCACAACTGCGGATAAATAAGAATGTTACAAGCATGTGATGCTCCTGTAAACTCACCTGGGGCAAGTAACAGGTGTGGGCAATATAGAAATCACACCTGAAAGCAGATAAAAAGGAGAGACGTTCACTTAACCTTTGCATTGTGTGTCTGTCTGTGCCACACTAAGCATGGACAACAGAAAGAGGAGACGAGAACTGTCTGAGGACCTGAGAACCAAAATTGTGGCAAAATATCAACAATCTCAAGGTTACAAGTCCATCTCCAGAGAACTAGATTTGCCTTTGTCCACAGTGCGCAACATTATCAAGAAGTTTGCAACCCATGGCACTGTAGCTAATCTCCCTGGTCGTGGACGGATGAGGAAAATTGATGAAAGATTGCAACGCAGAATAGTCCGGATGGTGGATAAGCAGCCCCAAACATGTTCCAAAGACATTCAAGCTGTCCTGCAGGCTCAGGGAGCATCAGTGTCAGCGCGAACTATCCGTCGACATTTAAATGAAATGAAACGCTATGGCAGGAGACCCAGGAGGACCCCACTGCTGACACAGAGACATAAAAAAGCAAGACTACAGTTTGCCAAAATGTACTTGAGTAAGCCAAAAGCCTTCTGGGAAAACGTCTTGTGGACAGATGAGACCAAGATAGAGCTTTTCGGTAAAGCACATCATTCTACTGTTTACCGAAAACGGAATGAGGCCTACAAAGAACAAAACACAGTACCTACGGTAAAATATGGTGGAGGTTCAATGATGTTTTGGGGTTGTTTTGCTGCCTCTGGCACTGGGTGCCTTGACTGTGTGCAAGGCATCATGAAATCTGAGGATTACCAAAGGATTTTGGGTCGCACTGTAGGGCCCAGTGTCAGAAAGCTGGGTTTGCGTCCAAGATCCTGGGTCTTCCAGCAGGACAATGACCCCAAACATACGTCAAAAAGCACTCAGAAATGGATGGCAAAGAAGCGCTGGAGAGTTCTGAAGTGGCCAGCAATGAGCCCAGATCTAAATCCCATTGAACACCTGTGGAGAGATCTTAAAATTGCTGTTGGGAAAAGGTGTCCTTCCAATAAGAGAGACCTGGAGCTGTTTGCAAAGGAAGAGTGGTCCAAAATTCCGGGTGAGAGGTGTCAGAAGCTTATTGATGGTTATAGGAAGCGACTGATTTCAGTTATGTTTTCCAAAGGGTGTGCAACCAAATATTAAGTTAAGGGTGCCAATACTTTTGTCCAGCCCATTTTTGGGGTTTTGTGTGACATTATGTCATATTTGCTTTTCTGCCTCTGTTTTATATTTGTTCCAATACATACAAAGGGAATAAACATGTATATAGCAAAACATGTGTTAATGCAATACCTTTTTTGTGTGAAATACTTGATTTTCAGGAAAAATATCAAGGGTGCCAACAATTTCGGCCATGACTGTATATACACATATATACATACACACACACACTGTATGATGAAATGCATTTTTATTACAAAATATATTATACATATGTACAATTTTAAATATACTGTATGTCTTTAAAAATACATTCAATCTACATTTTTGGAATGCATTTACAAATAAATGTAAAAATACAGGTTAAAAATAATTTTTAATAAGTTAAACAAATCTGAAGAATATATTTAAAAAATATATATTTTTTAAAATATTTTTCATATATTTTGTAATATCTAAAAAATTCATTTCAACATGCAGTGTGTATATATATATATATATATATATATATATATACACACATACATACATACACACACATACATACAGTCAGGTCCATAAATATTGGGACATCGACACAATTCTAACATTTTTGGCTCTATACACCACCACAATGGATTTGAAATGAAACGAACAAGATGTGCTGTAACTGCAGACTGTCAGCTTTAATTTGAGGGTATTTACATCCAAATCAGGTGAATGGTGTAGGAATTACAACAGTTTGTATATGTGCCTCCCACTTATTAAGGGACCAAAAGTAATAGGACAATTGGCTTCTCAGCTGTTCCATGGCCAGGTGTGTGTTATTCCCTCATTATCCCAATTACAATGAGCAGATAAAAGGTCCAGAGTTCATTTCAAGCGTGCTATTTGCATTTGGAATCTGTTGCTGTCAACTCTCAAGATGAGATCCAAAGAGCTGTCACTATCAGTGAAGCAAGCCATCATTAGGCTGAAAAAACAAAACAAACCCATCAGAGAGATAGCAAAAACATTAGGCGTGGCCAAAACAACTGTTTGGAACATTCTTAAAAAGAAGGAACGCACCGGTGAGCTCAGCAACACCAAAAGACCCGGAAGACCACGGAAAACAACTGTGATGGATGACCGAAGAATTCTTTCCCTGGTGAAGAAAACATCCTTCTCAACAGTTGGCCAGATCAAGAACACTCTCCAGGAGGTAGGTGTATGTGTGTCAAAGTCAACAATCAAGAGAAGACTTCACCAGAGTGAATACAGAGGGTTCACCACAAGATGTAAACCATTGGTGAGCCTCAAAAAACAGGAAGGCCAGATTAGAGTTTGCCAAACGACATCTAAAAAAGCCTTCACAGTTCTGGAACAACATCCTATGGACAGATGAGACCAAGATCAACTTGTACCAGAGTGATGGGAAGAGAAGAGTATGGAGAAGGAAAGGAACTGCTCATGATCCTAAGCATACCACCTCATCAGTGAAGCATGGTGGTGGTAGTGTCATGGCGTGGGCATGTATGGCTGCCAATGGAACTGGTTCTCTTGTATTTATTGATGATGTGACTGCTGACAAAAGCAGCAGGATGAATTCTGAAGTGTTTCGGGCAATATTATCTGCTCATATTCAGCCAAATGCTTCAGAACTCATTGGACGCCTCTTCACAGTGCAGATGGACAATGGCCCAAAGCATACTGCAAAAGCAACCAAAGAGTTTTCTAAGGGAAAGAAGTGGAATGTTATGCAATGGCCAAGTCAATCACCTGACCTGAATCCGATTGAGCATGCATTTCACTTGCTGAAGACAAAACTGAAGGGAAAATGCCCCAAGAACAAGCAGGAACTGAAGACAGTTGCAGTAGAGGCCTGGCAGAGCATCACCAGGGATGAAACCCAGCATCTGGTGATGTCTATGCATTCCAGACTTCAGGCTGTAATTGACTGCAAAGGATTTGCAACCAAGTATTAAAAAGTGAAAGTTTGATTTATGATTAGTATTCTGTCCCATTACTTTTGGTCCCTTAACAAGTGGGAGGCACATATGCAAACTGTTGTAATTCCTACACCGTTCACCTGATTTGGATGTAAATACCCTCAAATTAAAGCTGATAGTCTGCAGTTAAAGCACATCTTGTTTGTTTCATTTCAAATTCATTGTGGTGGTGTATAGAGCCAAAAACATTAGAATTGTGTCGATGTCCCAATATGTATGGACCTGACTGTATATATATATATACATACATATATACACACACATACATACATATATATATATATATATATATATATACATACATACACACATACATATATTTATTTATATACGGCCAAAATTATAGTATTTCAAATATATGTCAATATATTTGGGAACAATATTTTTAAAATATATTTAAAATATATTTTTCTTCCATGTGGGAAGAGAGTAGCAGTTTGTCTGTAAAAGTGGAAATATGCTTTGCCGTACCATACAGGTAGGTGAAAATAGAAGAAAATTGCAAGCACCACATGTAAGGATTGGTTGCGATTTATTACGTTTGTTCTTGGGTTTGCAATTTGTACAATGGGCAGAATCACCACAATTCTGCCTGCAATCCCAAAACGCTCTGCAAAACTGACAAATCGGACCATGCGTGTTCAGGTGCCATTCATTTTCAATGGCACTTAAAATGTGCGATTCTGTCGCGATTTGAATTACGCTGCAATGGCAGCAAACCGCATTGCACAAAGCTTATTGCCCAAAAATGAGCAGGGGCTTCTTTTGGGGTGACATACTTCATGGAATGCTGTTTGCACAATTGCAGCACGATTTATCACATGACAATTGCGGCAAAGTCGCACATTTTAGGCACCATTGAAAATGAATGGCACCTGAAAAAGAGTGGTGCGATTTGTCAGTTTTTGAGTGTTTTAGAATTGTGAGCAGAATCGGGGTGATTCTGCCCATGACACAAAACGCCTAGATGTGAATGAAGCCTTATGTAGCATTGCAGAAAGTGCCAGTTTGTCCATCAGCACAAAACCCATGGATCACATTCATGTAAATAATGGGATATCAAACACTTTTGCAACATAGTTACTTCTGAGAGTACTTTCATAAATACTTTTGCAATAATGTTGCAATGAAGTGGTTGCAGCACATAGCAGGAAAAGTTATATTTGAATATAAACCTGTCCTAAAAATATAAGAATACAAGTCCTAATGTATATATCTCACAGACACAGTATATAATTTTTGTATAAGATCTACTTACGAACAGCTGAAAGAAATTCATCGAACATACTGAAAGGGATAAGTGGCTCTGGAAGTTCACGGAAGAACATTTTTAGAGCACCTGTGATGACATGAATATCGTCCCACTCACTGTCATTAAGATCCAACTTCTCCTCTGCATTCACCAAAAACAAAATCCATTAGGAACATCTTCTATTCTCCTCATTATGGATATGTGTATGAGCGTTTCCCTAAACTTTGTTCCTGTTTATTAGCTAGATAACAGTGATTGTTTTAAAGTAATGATATTGTTCTGGTTGCTGTATAAATAAACTGCAGAACTCATGCACCTAATTCAATATAAAAGTCACCTAGTAAATACTTGATAAGTGAAGCCTTTTTGTACCGGCTGCATTGTTCTGCGCATTGCTGTGCTTTTCAGCACAAAAAAAATAAAGATAGACTACGTTCACACCTAATCACTGGGGTTGATATATTAAAGGCAAATTGGCTGTTCAACTTGCAAGGGAAGTTGCACTTTCCAAAGGAGTTTGCCTCAAAGCTTAGTGAATGTGGTGAAATTTTACTTTGCAATACTCAATCACACACAAGGAGAAGAAAACAAAACAGCACGATTGGATGATAGAAATCAGCAGAGCTTCATCCCTTTTACCAACTTCTGGGGCAAATTCCCTTGCAAAAGTGAACAGCCTATTTGCCTTTAGTAAACTACATACCGAATTTCGATTGAAAAAAGACAAATCCATCTAGTTCAACGAACAAAAAAAAGTAATCAGAGTAAATAAATAAAAATCCTTCATATACAGAATCCTATTTGCACAGTTGATTCAGGAGGAAGGCAAAAACTTCCTATAAGGCCTGGTTCACACCTATGCATTTGTTTGTGGTTTTTGCATTTTGCAGAAATTTACTACAGTCAGTTTGACATGGTTCCCTATGAGACACGTTCACATATATGTGTTTTCAGCCTCTGCTTTTTGGATAGAGTCATGGACATTTTTCCTGCAGCGGATTGCAACATGCATAGGTGTGAACCAGGCCTAAAGCATGATCCAATTTGCCCCAGCGGGGGGAGAAATAATTTCCTTCCTTATTTCCCCAAAAGGCAATCAGATATTCTCTGTATGAATTATCCCTGGTGTTAACATTTTTTTTTACAGGTACTTATATATATAGACTTAGACAGAATTTTATATATATATTGTACATTCACATCAGTCCCTTCCCTCATACAATCTAAAGTCCCCAACTCTCATTCATACATACACATACTAGGGCCAATTTAGACAGGATCCAATTCATCTACCAGCATATCTTTGTAGTGTGGGAGGAAACCAGAATACCCAGAGGAAACCCACACAGGCACAGGGAGAACATGCAAACTCCAGGCAGGTGGTGCCGTGGTTGGGATTCAAACCAACGACCCTAGTACTGCCAGGTGGAAATGCTAACTATTTAGCCACTGTGCTGCCCATATAAATGTTAACATCCAGTTATATTTTGTGAATTTAGGAAAGCATCCAGCTTCTTTTTTTAAAACAATTTACAGAAATCTACAATGAACCCCATTGTTCTGTAATAATTTGTGTGTGCGGACCTGAAGTATGGCATTTAGGTGACATTAAATGAAATGAGTAAGGCTTTGCAAGTCAACACATGTAAGATTTGCTGCATACTGGACCATTTGAATTTTAATAAATAAACTCTGAAGATTATGTATGGTCTCCGATGTTGACGTTTTTTAAGTGATACTAAAGGTTCAGATTTTTTTTTTTTAACTAACAAACATGTCATACTTGCAATGGCTCCTCCCCCCTGCTGAGAGTCCCTCAGCAAATTGCTTGCTCTTGGGACACTCGTGCATGCTTACTCCTGAGCCACCACTGTGCTACAAGATACACAGAACACACTGCCCCCCCTCCCTGCTCTCTACTCAACGTCTGTGGTTGACAACAGTGGGAGCCAATGGCTCACAGGCTGTGTCTCAGCTAGTGAGGAGGGAGAGCCCAGATAGAGCCGCTGTTCTCCTGCAATTTACTGGATCAGGTTCAGGCTCAGGTAAGTATTGGGGGGGCTGAGGGAGGAGCTGCACACTGAAGGTTTTATACCTTTATGTATAGAGTGCATGGAGTTAAAAACAATATTTAGCCTTTAGAACCATTTTAATTCAAACTGGGTCTTTTAAAAACACAACAAGGAACAAATGTCAATGTACATGAATATGGAGAGGCTGATTTACTAAAGGGTTGTGAATCTTCCCCTAATACACTGTAGCTGTTCTCATTTTGAATACTCAATCGTGCAGATGAATACAATTGACAGAAATCTGCTTTTACAAAATTGGATAAAATTCCCAACTCCTTTAGTAAATAAGCCTTAGGCTCCATGCACACTGGCTCTTAGCAATGCTCTTGGCAGAAATAAAAAACACTAGCTTTGAGTATTTTTTGTACTAGTGTTTAGGAGCGTTTAGCAGTGTTTAAGAGCATTTAGCATTTTTTTCGGCCAGAAAAACACTCTCAAATATGCAAAACAGTTTTTTTTTCCTGCCTCTAAGGCTCCATGCACACTGGACGTTTTGATAACGCTGGTAACGTTAGCTGTATAAAGTCACGTTAAAAACATGAGTTTTTCAGCTTTTTTTAGTGTTTTTGTATTAACGTTTAGCAGCATTTTGCCACGATTAGTGGCATTTTCCCACATTTTCCTTTTTAGCATTTTTTTTGGCCAAAAAAAGTCCACAAACCTGTTTTATCACATTTTGCCATGTTTTTCAGCGGTTTTTCAGCATTAGACCGTTTTTACAGCTAAAAAACTCCTGTAGAAACCCACTATTTCTAGGGGGGGGGGGGGGGGGTTTCCAGCCAAAAAACGTCCCAGCCAAAAAATGTTGATTACAGTTTATGCGTGCATGGACACATAGGATAACATGCTGGGGAGTTTACTGGCTGTAGAGAAAAACACATCAAAAGCCAAAAACAAAAGTTGCAATCTGCAAGGGAACAAGTTCCAGAGCTTAAAGAATACAGTGAAGTTTAACACTGCAAATACTAGATCATGTGCAGAGAAAATAAAAAAACTGCATTTTGCCTGTACGTGATTAGATGATAGAAATCAGTAGAACGTCATTTTATTCGCTAAGCACTGGGGGAAACTTTGTTCCAAGCTGAAATTAAAAGTGAACAGCCTATTTGCCTTTAGTAAATCAACCCCATAGTGAGTACTTCATGCATTCATGTACGCTCAGTATAAATCAGGCATTGCCTCCCAGTGCCTGACTGCTACAAATGATGCTGTATAATTTCCAGATATTAGGGTTGAAAGGAAGACCAATTTATGTTGCTGTAGATTTGGTAATATAGCTAACTTATTTTGTTGCTATGACATAGGAATATAGAGGGCAGCACAGTGGCTAAATGGTTAGCACTTCCACCTGGCAGTACTAGGGTCATTGGTTCAAATCCCAGCCACAGCACTACCTGCCTGGAGTTGGCATGTTCTCCCTGTGCCTGCTTGGGCTTCCTCCTGGTACTCCAGTTTCCTCCCACACTCCAAAGACATGCTGGTAGGTTAATTGGTTCCTGTCTAACTTGGCCCTAGTATGTTTATGAATGTAAGTTAGGGACCTTAGATTGTATTCCCCTTGAGGGTTAGGGACTGATGTGAATGTACAATATATATACCGTATTTTTCGCTCCATAAGACGCACTTCTTTCCCCCCAAAACAGGGGGGAAAATGTCAGTGCGTCTTATGGAGCGAATGTAAAGCGTCCAGTCCGGTATTTCTGCCGCCACCATGTCAGAATATCGGGCTGGCCGCTCAGCACTTCTCCCCTGCAGGACCTTACCTGTTCCTCGCTCCAGCGCTGCAGTCTTCCCGCGGCGGTTTCTGTGACCGCCGGGTGCCCACTGTCCATGCGCGAGAAGCGCTGCGCTTTGTGAATGGTCTGGCCTCTTCTGGGACACATGACAGGTCCCAGAAGGCTCCGGGCCATTCACAAAGCGCAGCGCTTCTCGCGCATGCGCAGTGGGCACCCGGCTGTCACAGAAGCCGGCGCGGGAAGAAGGAAGGACAACTCCGCAGACATAGCAGCGGGTACCTGTCAAATTCAGGTACCCGTTCCCCCTCCATCCCCAAAGGTCCGCAGTCTCTGGTCATCTCCTGTACTGTCTGCAGTCTCTGGTCATCTGTACTATGTCCACAGTCTCTGGTCATTCCCTGTACTATGTCCGCAGTCTCTGGTCATTCCCTGTACTATGTCCGCAGCAGAGGCGGACTGACCATTTGGAAACTCGGGCACTGCCCGAAGGCCCGGGGTCAGTATGGGGCCCCATGAGATGCCCCTGGTACCTTTTTCATAGGCTTTTTTGAGTTTGGGCAAGGACACAAGGACCCCACGATCCCCTAATTGCCCAGGGGCCCCATGAGTTTTCAGTCCGCCCCTGGTCCGCAGTCTCTGGTCATTTCCTGTACTGTGTCCGCAGTCTCTGGTCATCTCCTGTACTGTGTCCGCAGTCTCTGGTCATCTCCTGTACTGTGTCCGCAGTCTCTGGTCATCTCCTGTACTGTGTCCGCAGTCTCTGGTCATCTCCTGTACTGTGTTTGCAGTCTCTGGTCATCTCCTGTACTGTGTACGCAGTCTCTGGTCATCTCCTGTACCGTGTCTGCAGTCTCTGGTCATCTCCTGTACCGTGTCCGCAGTCTCTGGTCATCTCCTGTATTACGTCCGCAGTCTCTGGTCATCTCCTGTACTATGTCCGCAGTCCCTGGTCATCTCCTGTACCATGTCCGCAGTCCCTGGTCATCTCCTGTACTATGTCCGCAGTCTCTGGTCATCTCCTGTACTATGTCCGCAGTCTCTGGTCATCCTTTGTACTATGTCTGCAGTCTCTGGTCATTTGTACTATGTCTGCAGTCTCTGGTCATCCCCTGTACTACGTCCGCAATCTCTGGTCATCTCCTGTACTATGTCAGCAGTCTCCGGTCATCTCCTGTACTGTGTCCGCAGTCTCCGGTCATCTGTACTGTGTCCGCAGTCTCCAGTCATCCCCTGTACTGTGTCCGCAGTCTCTGGTCATCCCCTGTACTGTGTCTGCAGTCTCCGGTAATCCCCTGTACTGTGTCAGCAGTCTCCGGTCATCCCCTGTACTGTGTCAGCAGTCTCCGGTCATCCCCTGTACTGTTTCCGCAGTCTCCGGTCATCCCCTGTACTGTGTCCGCAGTCTCTGATCATCCGCTGTACTGTGTCTGCAGTCTCTGGTCATCTCCTGTACTGTGTCCGCAGTCTCTGGTCATCCCCTGTACTGTGTCCGCAGTCTCTGGTCATCTCCTGTACTGTGTCCGCAGTCTCTGGTCATCCCCTGTACTGTGTCCGCAGTCTCTGATCATCCCCTGTACTGTGTCCGCAGTCTCTGGTCATCCCCTGTACTGTGTCCGCAGTCTCTGGTCATCTCCTGTACTGTGTCTGCAGTCCATTGGTTCAGAATATTTTTTTTCTTGTTTTCCTCCTCTAAAACCTAGCCGCGTCTTATGGAGCGAAAAATGCGGTATGTAAAGCACTGTGTAAATTGATGGCGCTATATAAGTACCTGAAATAAATAATAGAATGTAGAGAGGTGTCACTGTTTCAAGCCGGTATGAAATTCCCTCACCTCTGGAACTTCAGGTGCCACAGGAACCCAACCACTCTATAAACTGTCTAGGACCAATGCTCTTTGCAGGGCTTCAGTGTGCTATGTCCAGGTTTAATACATTTGGATGTAAGCTCTCGTCATTATTGTGCTGTTTTCTGCTTTTCTTTTATGCATTGAGTTTTACAACCCTTCTATGTTTAATACATAGGAAAAAAGCAATGATTCCACCAAGAAAAAAATGGCCATTCAGAAATATTAAGACATAAGCAGAGCCTGGGTTGTTCTAAGATTTATAATGCAACTTATATTAACATGAAAAAAAAAAAAGTAGAAAAGCTATTCACACACAAATAACAAATAGGAATGCAAAATACATTAATGTACAACTTTACACAAAAAAAGAACACAAGCATGCTAGCATTGCAATGAACTGTATACTTAAGGTAGAATTCCAGGCTGAATCCAACTAGCTTAACCACTTACCCCCCTTCCTGACCAGGCCATTTTTTGCAATATGGTACTGCGTTACTTTACTTTACTTTTGCATTACTTTAACTGACAATTGCGCGGTCATGCAACGCTGCATCCAAATGAAATGTATGTCCTTTTTTTCCCACAAAAATAAAGTTTTCTTTGTGTGGTATTTGATCACCTGTGTTTTTATTTTTTTGTGATAAAAAAGACCGACAATTTTGAAAAAAAAAAAAAACATTTTTTAATTTTTTGCTCTAAAATATATCCAGTAAAAAAATGTAAAAAAATCTAATTTGGTCAAACATTTAGGCCAAAATGTATTTTGCTACATGTCTTTGCTTACAAAAACCAAATACATGTAAATTAATTGGTTTACGTGAACGTTTTAGCATCTACAAATGGCGGTATATATACTGGAATTTGTTTTTTATACTAGTAATGGTGGCGATCAGCGACTTATAGCGGTACTGTGGTGGGCATTCTGACACTGGGGGTGGGAACTGACTAACCGCCACTGACATCCCAGTGACACTAATACAGTGATTGCTAATAACAAGCACTGACACTGTACTAATGGCACTGGGCAGGAAGGGGTTAACATCTGGGGCAATCAAAGGGTTAACTGTGTGCTGTTTTACTATGTGTGCTGCCCTGTAGCAGTAGTTCTGCTATAGGGCGGTGGGGAACTGGTTAAAAATACTCTGCACACACACACGCAACACCAATGCTGGCTAACCTGTGTAAAAAAAGTAAAATGTATCTACTTTTAGAGCACTTCTGTCCAGTCATGTGATCCCCTTTGTCAGCTAACAGCAGGTGCATTGGGGGAAGAGAGAGCGCATAACAATGGCTGTAAAAGCCTGGAGCAATGACATCAACCATAGGCTGCAATGGCCCATTCATTGTTGGCTCTCCCTCCTCTCCCCTGCAGCCGCTGCTCACATACATAGAGGAGCCACATTATGTGAACAAATCATTGCAGCCTGAAAATAAGTAAGCATGTACATCTTTCTCACACTGGCTAGTCAGCATAGGTGTTAGGAGGGGGAGGGAGCATTTTTAAGACTAGTTAGGTTTAGCCTGGAATTCTACTTTAAAGTTCATGTCAAGTTTTTATTGCGGTCTCTGGCTCTTGTAGTGAAAGTTCACATATCATCTAGTGTTAGAACATGAAGTAAGTGAAGAATTCCCGTATGGACACACTGTTGTTCAAGTCTAAGGTTTGAACCCTTCCTCTATCTACCCAACACTAGTCTCCAATAAATTGCTACTGTTAACAAAATTCAGTCTGGAGGTGGAAACATCAACGGAGCGCCAGCTGGTGGAAGATCCTCATCCCAACCCATGTCAGATACATTGCATTCCTGTATCACAGCTAATTATAACTTATTTAAAGAGCAATTCCAGGAAACACGTTAAAACATTTAGTAAGCTACTAACCCTATCCATACCAAAATAGCTATGCTAATGTCAAATGATTCACTCAGTTTACCCCAATCTAAAGGTTTACATGAGACAGTTTAGAAAAGGGGTCCCCAACCCCTAGGCTGCAGACTGGTGCAGGTCTGTGGCCTTCTGGGGGTAGGGCCATTCAGTGGCGGGTGGGTGGGTGGCAGGCGAGTGAGCCAGCACAACCTACACTGCCACCCTCCAACCACCAGAGGGCACCTGCTCCTCGTCTCCCAGCACCACTACTCCCTTCCCTCTCTGTGGTCACGTTAGTGAAGAAGAGGAAATAAAGAAGAGAGAGGAGGAGAAGGGGAATGCATGAAGATAAAAAACCTTGAACCACTTTATTGCATATCAGTCAGGGCCCCTGTAAAACAGTACTGTTTTACAGCTTACTCAAATCAGAAATGCAAAAATATTGTTTGAAGTGAATTTTAGAAGTTAAATGGTTTTATGATTGCATAATGGGTCTGTTTGAGTGAAATATCAAACGTGGCCCAAGTAACTTTGAGGTGGACTATATGGAGCACAAATGTGAAAGTATTAATTGGTAAGGGGAGCTTTTTTTCTAGAAACCTCATGTCTATGACTGTCTCTTGAGGCATGTTCCCAATCTCCCAACAATTCTATAGCATGTCTGATCATGCATAGTCTCTAACCATCTTCTGGTCTCTACCAACTTTCTGAAGCATTACATTCACTGAATATTACAACGTATGTATGCCTTCATGAGACCCCCTGTATCAAGAAAGTTGACCACCACTGCTCTAAACTAAACAAATCATCCTAGATATTACTACAGTAGGAAATATGTGGATTAATTTCCTTTCTTGATTACCTGACAAAGAAACCAATGCAAACTGAACAAAAGCGGTTAGTCAGAGCCAATGAACATAAATTTCACAGCATACATACACATCAACATGTAGACATGGCTGCAGAGTTCAGCCAATTCAGACATTTTAGCTTCAGACATATTGCTGGCAGACATGGACGATAATAGCAGCTCTGGAAGCACAGTTGTAAAGGGCACATCTGCTATGACATACACAGCATTGTAGCCAGAACACAAAGGGCTACCTTGGGAGAGCTGCTCCGGAAAAAGGTACCGTCCATCTGTAGTTACTGCCCTCTCTGAAAAATAACAGGTTAGCCTACTGATTATTTAAAAGTTCCAAATAAGTGCATTGTAGGCTGGATCATATATTGGTTGCTTCTTAACAATTATATTATGAAATTTCAATAAAAAAAGTAATACATCTTAATATCTTATTTTTATTCACTCTGGCAGTATCATTTTACCAATCATTTTCATTACAATGGTGTTCCACATGGAGCTCCTTACCTCTATCTACTATAAACCTTAGTTTCTGTATGATGGATAAGTTTCCACTCACTCTGTAAATTCCATCTACATCCAGCCCTAGGATACATGTAAAACAGGAAAAGATTTAGAGCAGTTAGTCAACACTGGTGATTGAATCATGTGGGTAAACAATATTATCACAATGAACGTGAACCAGGTAGGACGTGCCACGCTTTGGGCCTGGAAGTATTTTAACTGTTAACATGAATGTCTACTCATATTTTGTTTGAGCAATGTTGAGTACTGCCTGATGGTTTTCAAAACCCTCTTAGTATTGTGTCATATATTTTGTCTTACATTATGTATGTTGCACTTTCTTTTAACATGTAATTTTGTAAAACATTACATACATACAAAAAAGCCTTTTACTGTTTAAAGTCATATGATCAAAGGTTGCCTGAGATGTCCTGAATACCATTCTCAATATCAGTGGTCTCCAAACTACGGCCTGTGAGCCAGATGTGACCCTTTGCTTGCTTTATCTGGCCCTTTGGTCACTATTCCTCCCACTGCCAGCAGGGTTGAGGCACTATTCTTTCCATTGACACCTGTAGTGGGTCATAATTCCTCCCACTGACACCAAGGATTGGGGATTAGTCTTCCTACCAATACCAGTGATGGGACATTATCCCTCTCCTTACTAAACCCACGTGTTTTGTAATTTTTTTTTTTACTTCTACTGACCTAAGCCTGAGGAACTGGGCCATTTTCTACTTCCACTGGACGCAGTCCGGCCCCTTTAAAGTTTGAAAAAACGTAAACTGGCCCTTTGCTTGGAAAGTTTGGAGACCTCCCTGCTCAATATCATTCTGTTATACTATTGTACTGATCATTAAAGAACAGATAAACACCAGGAATTTCATCATCATAACAAATATCTGACATTTTATGACCAGCAAGGATTCAGTAAACGTTACCATCACACAGCTCTGCAATTAACTGGGTCTTACAAATCAATGCACACACATTATGAGCTGAATATTTGTTATTATATAATATAAAAGTCAAATTCCATAATCAGGGTATTATATTTAGTGCCCTTAATCCATAAGACTCCTGTCCCTTCTCATTTTGCCATACATTTTTTGCTCTGGTCACATGTACTGGAAGTAATACATTTGATTGGTAAGTAAAGTAAACGTAATATTTGCAGATGCAATTTAGATAGAAGACTTTGTTGAACTTGAAGAATGTTGACTCTTTATGGCTAAACATATTTAGTTTACCTACAAATGCAATGAATAAAGCTTTTTATTATTTTATCAATGTTCCTCCCTTCCTGTCAATCAAACTCTCATTTCCACTATAAATGAGCTCATGACCATGTAGTAGCAGCAGATACTTACCTGTGTTTGCATATCTCCCACTTTACAGCACAAGTGAAATACACCCATTAGGTATGTTCTATTTTATAGGGTTGAGACGATGCAGATGACAAAAGAAAGATCAGATCGGTTTAACTGAAAAATGTACAGCTCTTTAAGTTTTATAAATTAATATAAGTTTCCGTATATAAATGATGATGGGTATGCTAACACAGTTGTTGGTTTGACTAGTATTCTCCCAACATCCAATCAGAATCAAAATATAAAATATAATGTGATTTTTTTTTGTTGTTATATTTAAATCTCTAAAATGTATGGCTCCTTATGGTAAGAAGTAATTTTTTTTTATGACAAGAAACTTTTCCTACCCATTTTCCCAAAGTGTACATTGTACTTACATAATTGTTAATGGCTGTATAACTTAATGTAATAGGATCATGTAGAACCTGGTTGTCAGGAGCCGCACTGGCGCGTGGCTTGGCGCAGTGTGCTGGCTCGCACTGGTGTGCGGGCACTAGGTCCTGGCCGGCTGAGAAGGAACCCGCGCATGCGCACTCGGGGTCGCGCCAATGACAGCGCAGGGCGCGGTATTTAAATCTGCTCAGCGCTGACGTGGGTTGCCGTTTGGTCTATCCTGTGTTCCTGCTTCTGTATACGTTGGTATTTGATCGTTGCTGACCCGGATTGTTCCAGACCGTGCTGTACTCTCCTGCTCTGACCCCTGGCTTGCCTGACCTCTCTCTTGGATGCCCCTAATTTGCTCTGACCTATTGTTGCTGACCCAGCGTGTGACCCGACCATTCTCTGCCTGCTGCCTTGTACTGCGCTGCCCCCACGGTTACCGACTCGGCCTGTCTGACCACGCTTCTGCTCATCCATCCATCCGTCCTGCTCGGGACCATCCGCCTCTTCACAATAGGCTCTCAGTTTGCAGATACCTCTGGCGGTTCCCTCTACCACGGGTGGGTGTACTCAGGGGCCGCGAACTGGTCTCGGTCTGCTCCAAGTCCATCCCCACCATCAGGGACCCTGGTGAACAAGCAGACTAGGACTTAGACTCCGCGCTCTGGGGAACCCTATTCCGTGGATTGCTAGAGGTACCGCCAGGCGGTTCATTACAGTACCAAACAGCCATGACAGAGCCTGGAAGAGGACCATCCCCACTAGAGGACATATGCCAGCACCTGGCGGTTCTGACCCAAGCCGTCAAGACACTGCAAGATGGATACACACATCTGGAGAACCGCATTTAGACGCTAGCCGCACCTGCCACCACCTCCCAGAGTCCGGCTACCCCTGCTTCATCCGAGGAATCTCCAGGACCATCTACTGGAGCTATAGTCGCGCTGCCTACTCCAGAACCCCGCGTTCCACTGCCGGAATGTTTTAGCGGGGACCGAGCACGGTTCAGGGCCTTCCAGAATGCGTCTACTCTACTTTAGTCTGCAGCCACGCACATTTTCCATGGAGGCAGTTAAGGTGGGATTTATCATATCCCTGCTCCAGGATGAACCCCAGGACTGGGCTCACCGTCTGATGGAGAACCACGATTCCCACCTGGAAACAGTAACAGATTTTTTCAATGCTATGGCTGTATTGTACGATGACCCACAGCGGGCAGCCTCCACAGAAACAGCCCTGTACTCCCTCCGACAAGGCCGTCGGGCAGTGGAGGAATATGCGTCAGTATTTAGACGATGGATGGGGGATACCATTGGAACGACACTGCTTTACGCCACCAGTTCCCCATAGGGCTCTCTGAGGCTCTTAAGGATGTGTTAGCTCGGGTAGGCCTACCCGATTCTTTGGAGGACCTCATTACCTTGGCCATTCAGATAGACCGCAGACTGTGGGAACGCAGATTTGAGAGGACCAGCCAGGGTCAGAGAGCAACATGGGTACCCCCTCAGGGCTCAGTCCAACCTTCGCTGGGAGGAAACTGGATCCCAGAGCCTGTGGATAACCCCGAACCCATGCAGCTTGGATTGGCTCGGCCATCATTATCGGCCAAAGAACGCTAGAGGAGAAGGTCTAGGAATCTGTGCCTGTATTGTGGAGAAGCCGGTCATATGGTGCGTTCCTGTCCAGGGAAAATGAGTAAGCCTGCCCCTCTTTTTTCTTCTGTATCTGCTGAAAGTCTCAACCAGTCCAATTACTTAGCCATACCTGTTTCCTTTCAGCTCCCAGGAAGAACCATGTCGGTGACGGCAATAATTGATTCCGGAGCATGCAGTTGCTTTGTGGATTTAGATTTTGCCCATCAACAGAAAATCCCCCTCCAGACTAGGGAACGGGGTCTTAACATATTTTTGGCCGACGGGTCACGTATCAAGTTTGGGATGGTAGACCGGGAGACTCCTCTTATCTGCACCACAGTAGCTGGCCATCATCGGGAGTTCCTCTGACTGGACGCTATAGCCTCCCCTCTTTTCCCAGTCATTCTGTGGCTTCCTGAACTCTTCCAGAGACTAAAGTCAGCAGTGATCTTTACAAAGCTAGATTTAAGGGGTGCATACAATCTGGTCCGTATAAGGGAGGGGGGTGAGTGGAAAACAGCGTTTCGTACTCGATTTGGCCATTTTGAGTATTTGGTCATGCCATTCAGACTCTGCAATGCCCCGGCCACGTTTCAGCACTTCATCAATGATGTATTTCGGGATTATCTTGATGTTTTCGTGGTCATCTATTTAGATGACATATTAATCTTCTCTCCCTCACTCGAAGCTCATAGGGGTCATGTTACAAGTGTATTGGAACGATTACGCCAACACAGACTGTACGCTAAAGCTGACAAGTGCAGCTTCGAGCAGCGCAGTATTGCATTCCTGGGGCTGATCCTCTCCACCATGGGGGTTGCGATGGATCCAGAGAGAGTCTTGGCAATCTTGGATTGGCCAGTACCCACGGACAAGAAGGGCGTTCAACGCTTTATTGGGTTTTCAAATTTTACAGAAAGTTTATCAGGAACTTCTCTGGTCTGGTTTCTCCCATTACCCAGCTGACCAAACAAGGGGTCCGTTTCAAATGGACACCCGAGGCTCAAGCGGCATTTGAAACTCTGAAGGGATTATTCACCACCGCTCCCATTCTCAGTCATCCTGATTCCTCCCTGCCTTATGTCTTGGAAGTTGATGCCTCGGAAAATGCCGTAGGGGCCGTCCTGTCCCAGAGGAAAGGCACCAAGGAGCTCCTGCACCCAGTGGGGTTCTTCTCGAGGAAACTTACACCGGCAGAAAGGAACTACGATATTGGAGATCGAGAACTTTTGGCCATAAAAACCGCACTGGAGGAGTGGAGATACCTGCTGGAAGGAGCCACGCATCCAATTCTGATCTTCACCGATCACAAGAATTTAGAATATTTGAGAACGGCAAAACGCTTGAGACCACGTCAAGCGAGATGGGCACTCTTTTTCTTCCGGTTCTCTTTCCACATCACATATAGGCCAGGCTCCAAGAACACGAAGCCTGACGCTCTTTCGCGCATGTTTGAAGACCCTGAAGAGGTCCCTAAACCTGACGCTATCTTGTCCTCGAGGGACTTCCTGGCCCTCCAAACGGAGCTATGTTCCAGGCTACAGGATGCATCCGTGGGAATGCCAAACCCACCCAGGGTGTCCCTCCAGAGCAAGGGAGGGCTCTTATGGAAGGAAGGGCGAATTGCGGTACCAGAAGTCCGAACATTGGTCCTGGGACACTGCCATTATCACCCGATGGCAGGTCATTTCGGAATGGCGAAAACTCTGGAATTACTTCAGCGCACATTCTGGTGGCCAAGTATGATCAAGGATTGTGAGCTCTATGTCAAGACCTGCGCCACCTGCCAGAGGAACAAACCCTCCAAGAGCAAGGCCTGGGGTTTGCTACGCCCACTGCCTATACCTGATCGACAGTGGCAAATGATTGCAATCGGTGTGCGGGCACTAGGATTGCAATCGACTTTATAGTCGAGCTCCCTCCGTCTCAAGGCCACACCGCGATCTTCGTAATAGTGGATCGCCTGTCGAAGATGGCCCACTTCTTGCCTCTGAAGAATACGCCATCGGCTCTAGAAACAGTGCAAATCTTCATTAGAGAAGTGGTAAGACTGCATGGAGTTCCTGAAGACATTGTCTCAGACCGAGGAGTCCAGTTTACCTCGAAGTTCTGGAAAGCGTTATGCGAAGCATTAGGAATCAGATTGTCCCTCTCTTCCGCTTACCACCCACAGACGAATGGGCAGACGAAGAGGACAAACCAAATGTTGGAGCAATACTTGAGATGCTACACGTCCTTTCTGCAGGACGATTGGCTGGCACTCCTGCCGCTGGCCGAATTTGCCTACAACAACGCGAATCATTCAGCTACGGGGCAATTACCATTTCTTGCAAATTATGGGTTCCATCCCACATTCCTGCCTGATCTGATTGCCGAAAGCTCAGTTCCTGCCACTCAAAGCACTCTGAATTTTTTTTCTGCCAACAACAAGGTACTTCAGGAAGCCATTTCAAAAGCTCAGGAGGACAACAAAAATGCCTTCAACAGGAAGAGAAGCGGGGAACTAGTGTTGCAACCTGGGGATCAGGTCTGGCTGGCAACAACGAATTTGAAGATGTCTTGTTCGTCGAAGAAACTGGGGTCGAAGTTTGTGGGTCTATTCAAGGTGAAGCGAATGATCAACAAGATGGCATATGAGCTCACTCTTCCGGAAACTTTTAAAATTCACCCAGTTTTCCATGTGGCACCAATGACAGCGCAGGGCGCGGTATTTAAATCTGCTCTGCGCTGGCACTGGTTGCCGTTTGGTCTATCCTGTGTTCCTGCTTCTGTATTCGTTGGTATTTGATCGTTGCTGACCCGGATTGTTCCTGACCGTGCTGTACTCTCCTGCTCTGACCCCTGGCTTGCCTGACCTCTCTCTTGGATGCCCCTAATTTGCTCTGACCTATTGTTGCTGACCCGGCGCGTGACCCAACCATTCTCTGCCTGCTGCCTTGTACTGCACTGCCCCCACAGTTACCGACTCGGCCTGTCTGACCACGCTTCTGCTCATCCATCCATCCGTCCTGCTCGGGCCCATCCGCCTCTTCACATCAGGCTCTCAGTTTGCAGATACCTCTGGCGGTTCCCTCTACCACGGGTGGGTGTACTCAGGGGCCGCGACCTGGTCTCGGTCTGCTCCAAGTCCATCCCCACCATCAGGGGCCCTGGTGAACAAGCAGACTGGGACTTAGACTCCGCGCTTTGGGGAACCCTATTCCGTGGATTGCTAGAGGTACCGCCAGGCGGTTCATTACACTGGTGGTGGCTGGAATTGAAGCTACTCTTCCAGACAGTGTACTTATATCAAATAAGTAACTATAGTATCTTGTACCTCTTTCATTTACAGTTTCTATACACAGCTGCACAAACTTTGGGACAGTGCTATGTTCTCGATGGCAAAGAGCATCTAAGCGACAGCCAAAGACTTGATCTGCAGAACAAGACAAGAAAAAAAATAAAACATATAAGAGTTCTACATGATGAAAATAGTCCTATGAGAAATAAAAATGATAAATTAACACAGATCAGATTATTTAAATATAATTGATTCAAATTCTCTCTGACATCTTTCTCTCTTATCATTGTTCTGTCTATATCTTCAATTCATTTCTATTTACATTTCTAGTATTACTAATCACACTCACTGGACAAGTTTTTCTTTTATGCATTAGCCCAAAGCCAAGAAGTTTTACATTACCTTACAATATCTGATAAAAGAAAATCTTATTGCCTCTAAAGACCACACTGCAATAGTTACTGCAGCTCTCCCCACTGAAAAATGTGGGGTGAGGCTCAGAGAGTTTGCTCATTGCTACTCCACCATCCACTGGAACACAAACTGGTGGTTGTTAGGACTGTGCGACGTGGGGCTAAGATGGTAACAACAAACACAAAGTTTGAAAACTAAGAATACAGGCATCTCAGGAGTACTTTGAACATTTTTGGCCACCTAGCCAAAGCAAAAAAAATGGGACTATGAAATAGAGGGAGGGAGCAGAATACATGGATTAATGTAGTCATCCTGTATGAAGAAGCAAACATTGCATCCCTGTGTCTTTTATGCCCATCTATACACTGAGACAGAAGCTTGTACATCCTAAAGACCCAACATCCAAACACAAGCAAAGTACTTTGGTATATGCCGTGCAGTGTAATGAGGAATGAAGAATGCAAAGACCAGCATATTGTGGAAACAATACAACCTCTCAACGCATGAATAGCCCAACATAGGAGAGCATATTATGCAGGTCAAGTCTGTAGTTTTCCTACACGTTAAGGAAAAGGGTTATTCATTTGTGAACAGTGAGATGCACATTTTGTACAGAGGACAAATGGTTCACAGAAAGTGTCAGCAGGCCTTCAATGTCAAACTGGAACAATCATTCCTAAACAGGGGTGGGGGCCTTCAACATCTGTCTCCCACATATATTGCTGCTGTAACATTTCTACCCTGATGGAAAACAATTCACATGTTCAGCCATGTAAATCAAGGAATTAAATTATCACTTATCCAGACTTCTTGACACCAAAAATTAAATTATGCAAATAAAACGGGGTGGTCCCACAACTTCCCATCCTGTTCTTGGACAATCAACATTTGCATATTCCATAGCAACTGGGCCAGGGTGTTACCTGTGTGGATTTAAATGCTAGGGTGATTTTCTGACACTCATTTGAACTCAATAATGGATTTGGGGAAGCTTTGAAAAGTCTTCAACATTATAGAACAAGTCCAGCTGAATGTGACTACTACTAGCTATTAATCTTCCTTGAATATGTCTGTCACTGCTACCTTTAATAAATGATAATCTTTTCAAGCTAAGGCACAAAGTGTATGTATAGCCATACATTTGTTTCTAGTTTTGAATAGAGTAGGAAAGATTAGAACCTCTGTCAGATTTTTTATTGCTGTTGTCTCTGTTTTATCTCTGTTGGGTAGAGTCACCTTCTCCACTGACCCCAGCGACAGACAGAAAGTGGACATAAAACCAAAATTTTGATTGTAACCACAGCAATAAGTGAGACTAAATCTTCCAATGGTTAAACCTGTGCTGATAACAAAATGTCTAAGAAGGAACTTTCCCTCATTATGTAGAGATTTTCTCCCACTTCCTGTTGCATCTTTAGGACAGGATGTGACAGTAAAACTCCTCAACAGAAAACATACAGAAAAAAATACCTGTATCTACTCTATCCAAAAATGAAAATGAAACAGTGTTGGCTATACATTTTGATTTTGTTTGCAAATGTGCACAAAACGTTCAAAGTACACGTTAAAGTGGAATGCCAGCCTAACCCTAATTATGCCTAAACATGCATGTGAATATAAACAATCAGCGCAGTATATATCAAAATTAAGTGCTAAACATCAATAATGCTCATCACCACACCATATAACCTTTTGACAAATATATAATGATGTAGCGCAATAACCTGATCAAAATAAAATTTAAAAAAACCCAAAGTGATGTGTCAATAGTCCTTCACCAATGTATTAAATTTTGTGCTCACCTTCGGAATTGGACCCCAATATAAATCAGGTCACATAGGCTTACTAATAACCATAAGAGATATCTCAACCATTCCTCTTCTGTCTTCTCCTCCACCTCCTGCCCCAGCTCTGGAAAGCATAGAGATTTGTTTGCATGCATATATTACAGTAATGTGAGTGCATCTCTTGGATAATTTCCAGCCAGTTATTTCTGTATGGAGAGCATTATATTTTCTGTTTTTTGTTTGCATGTACCTGTGTTTGTGAGTGTGAAGCTGCGGCAGGAGGAGAAGACGAAAGTAGAATGGTTGAGATATCTCCTTGGTTATGAGGAAATAAACCTTGATTTATATTGTGATCCAATTCTGAAGGTGAGAACATACAATATATTGTACTGGGTGACTGGAGTAACAACAATTTAATACATTGGTGAGGGACTATTGACACATTAATTTGGACTTTTGTTATTGTATTGTGCATAAACATGTTCCATCCCCTCTCCTGTTACCTATCCAACCTAACCTGCCTCAAAAAAAATCTGTATACTTACCTTTTTTTAGTCCACTCCAGTGCGGTCACATGATCCCCTGCGTCAGTGAGTGGCGGCTGCAGGGGAAAGGGGCGAGAGCTCGACAATGGTTAGGAATTCCTGCAGTCATGATATCACCGATATGCTCCAATGGTCAGATCATCTTCTCAAAGTGATTGTAAAAGAAAAAAACCAAAACAAAACAAACTTACCTTCTCTGTGCAATGGAAACTGCACAGAACATCCACAAACCTCCACCTCGGGTCCCCCACTGGCGCTCCTCCTCTCTGTCCAGTTCCCCTATGGGAAGCCGCCTCCCATGGGGGCACTCGTGCATGAGTGCTCCCGAGCCCGACTGCTTAGTCCATTGACACAGACAGTGCAACTCAGCTATGCCCCCCACTCCCTCTTCACTGGCTTTGATTGAAAGCACTGGGAGCCAATGGGTCTCAGTGTCCCAAGAAAGCTAGTGAGACCTGGAAGTGAAGGGAGAGAAAAGCTGCAGACGTGCTCAGCCCCGGATCGAATGAGAGCTCAGGGAATTATAAGGGGGTGGGGGGGGGGGGGGGGTGAGGGGCCAAAATTTATGGCTAAACATGTTTAATCTTAATGCAAGGAATGCATTAGGGTAAAAAAAATTTAGGCTTTAGAATCACTTTAAACACCACCCCTTTCCCCAACTTACTTTTTTATATCATATTAAACTGGCTTCTGTATCTTTACTAACACCACATTAGCATCACCACCAAATTCAGAAGAATCATAAGAGAATATAATAGATGCTGTGACATTAAGAAACATCTATTCATCTACTGCTACCATGGACTCCTTTGATATGTCTGCAACTAATATGCAGCTGTCTAAATGTTATTATTTCATATATCTTTTTCAATCATGTACTGCTTCATAGCTTTTCAATAAACAGAACACCAATCAACTGTTACTTAATGTAGATTACATTTAATTATTATTATGAAGCTTAAAATGGTTTTAAATGCTATTTTGCCCATTTAGTGGGACTTCTATCCTAGATTTTAGAGAACTTTGCTCTAGAGGGTTATACTTCCACCTATGTATTACAGATAACTGATTTTATTTAATTTTGTAGAATGGTAACTGTACATCATAAATTATCGAAGTGGGATCCCACAAACAACTGTGGAAGAATTGCTGGTTGGGGAATGCTTTCTTTGCTAAAATAGGCATATAATAGTTTCAACATGACTCAAATGCTGTAATTGGTAAATAGATCTGTGTAAATCTATCTTGTGACATACATTCTTGTTAACAGCATTAAGCTTGCACATTCATACATAGTTAGATTGCGTGTTAAATACAATTTAGGCTAAACATTACATTCATTTTCCAGCTACTTTTAATCGTGTAAGATTTCCAAGAGAAGAAGAAAAAGAAGAACAGCTGAGACATTTCTTTGTTAGTCATGGACTCCAGCTCTTCCTGAGGGATTCAAAAGTGTTCCCAGGCCAGATCCAGGTCCATATAATGATCTGGAACTGACATAGTTGGATACATAAGATGTCTATAGAAGCAAAGCAGCCACCTTGCCTGTAACCGCACTTAGAAGGATGCATTTGTAGGGTGTTGAGAGATCTGGTCAGCCCTGCTTACACTGTTGGACAACCAGTATCTGGCAGCGCTTGTATGGTACAAAGGAACAATGAATGCTCACAGGAAAAATATCAAGGGTCCCAACAATTTTCGGCCATGACTGTACATTCTTGTTAACAGCATTAAGCTTGCACATTCATCATAACAGACTATTCAACATAGTTTTAGAAGTGCACTTTATCACTCTAACACACCCGGTCACATTGGGTGCGACTTGGCATGTGATTTGCATGCCATGTGACTTGCAAATTGTATGCCAGGTCGCACCCTATTGTCTGCTATTAGAGCATGCACTACTTTTGGTGCAATTTGCATAGACATCTGTGTCAGATGTCTTGCAAATTGCACCTGAAATCGGCAAGTCACCTGACTTTGAAATCGTGCCACTTCACTGTAAGTCGCATGATTTCAAAATCGGGCTTGATGTGACCGGGGGGGCTAATGTAAGCAACTACATAGCCAATTCACCACATGTGATGCTCACAACTGTCATATCCCTTATTATCAGGATGTTTGTGGCAATGCTAATGTTTGTTAAAGTCCTTCAACTTTTCAAAGATCTGTTTAGTAAATAAACATTATTATTCTGTAAAGTATTAAACATATCAAAGTAACTGACCTTTAATTAGTCCTTTCTCTTGTAAGGTCTGTAGTGGAGGCCTCTTCATCAACATCTTCTTTAGTCTATGCTTCACTTTCTTTTTATCGACACTTCCAACATTGCTGCTCACCCAGGATACTATGTACCGAAAAAAGGAACATACATACTAAAACAAAACATTTAAATAAAAATAACACAGTAAACCATTAAAGCAATTATTACACCCCCATGTAACACTGCTGCTCTAGCCAGTAAAATTAGATTCTCTTGCAACTCCTGTGTTTAATTATCTATGAGGTTATAAACCTGCTTCCGGAAGCTTATCTGAACTCTGAGGTTGTGACATATGACCTACCTAAGCATTATTTCAAATGTTTAGGTTTGCATGGAAATTTGTAATTAAATAACCATCAAAAAAAGTATGTATGTTATGTAAATACGTAAAATAAATGTGTGTATCCAGTAAGAAAATGATAACGAAAGTATAACAAAAGTACGTGATATATAGTAGTTTATATTCATACACCTTTCCAATCTAAGTATGTGAGATCTTTTGGGGAAATTTCACGTGCATGTACCTTTTAATGTTTTAAGGTCCTTTTATAGTCCTGATATGTATGCAGTTTAGTAATAACTGTAAGCTAAAACAGGGCTCTTTTAAAAATATACAATATTTATTTTTAATTTCAGATAAATCCTTAAGCCTGGGTTCACACTGATGCAGTGCGAATTCCGCACCGCATCACAATCGCACCCTGTTCATGCGAATCGCTGCGGGTATGTATGTTAAGTTAACAACCCCCCCCGAAATCAGTCAGCAAAACGCGGTTCGATGTGCAGAATTGGATCACATAGGTGTGAATACCCATGTGATCCGATTCTAGTGGGGACCAAAAAAAGGGTCCTGCACCTTTTTGGTGCGGATGCGGTGTGATTTGAGCCATGCAAAATGTATGGCTCCAATCGCACCGCACAAAATTCGTATGTGATCTGCACAGGAATGCGGTGCGGTGTGGTTCCTGTGCGAATCACATGCATGTGTGAACACACAGACTAAATCATTTTTCAATTATCTCAGTATTAAATGTAATCTAACTTCCAAGCATTATAATGAAACATAAATTCAAGTTAATCTAAACTATCCAATTTAATACTAATATGCAGACTGGACAGAGATTTGGTTTTTTTTTATGTTTTTTTAACAATGCATCTTTTAAAGCAATCCTAACAATCCTTTAAACTGTAAAGCTGGGTACACAATCTCAGTTTTTTATTCTTTTTCATCTGGAGGGTTGAAGGAAAAAGAAAAAACTGTCAGATTGCTGTATCAACACAGGCGACAGGGGGACTACGACCCCCCACCCCTATCACCACCAGAAAACAATGATCAACACTTGCAGTCATTTGCTGCAGGCGCTGATAAAGATGCTGGTTTTCCACCAGCTTCTGGAGAACAGACAGGTGAAAGAAAATCATCTGATTTCTGTTGAACCAGCCAAATTTTGGCCAGTGGATACCCAGCTTATCAATGAACTTCTTCAACTACTTGCCCTTCTGAGAATTTACCCCCCTTCCTGACCAGGCCATTTCTTTGCGTTACGGCGCTGGGTTACTTTAACTGACAATTGCGCAGTCATGCAATGCTGTATTCAAATTAAATTTATGTCCTTTTTTTCCTATGAACTGAGCTTTCTTTTGATGGCATTTGATTGCTTGTGCGGTTTTTATTTTTTGCGTTGTAAAAAAAAAAAGACTGACAAATTTGAGGAAAAAAAACAATGTTTTTGACTTTTTGCTATTAAACATGTCCAGTAAAAAAATTGAAAAAATCTAATTTCGTTATAAATTTAGGGCAAATGTATTCTGCTACATGTCTTTGCTAAAAAAAAATCCCAATATGTGCAAATTAATTGGTTTACTAGACAGTTATAGTGTTTACAAATGGCGGTATATATACTGGAATTTAGTTTTTTTTACTAGTAATGGCGGCGATCAGCGACTTATAGCGGGACTGCGGTGAGAATTCCGTCACTGGGGGAAACTGACTTGGTGTCACTGACATCCCCAGTGACATCAATACAGTTATCAGTGCTAGAAAAAAAAAAAAAAGCACTGACACTGTACTAATGTTACTGGGCAGGAAGGGGTTAACATAAGGGGCAATCAAAGGGTTAACTGTGTGCTGGGAGTGTTTTACTGGGGGCGGTGTGTTGGTGCTTCACTGTAAGCACACTGCTCTGGATGGCTGTTGATGGCTGTTAGTAAACAAAGCAGCCTCCTCCCCATCGGAGATCCTCGGTAATCACCGGGCACCACCCAGACACGGTGATTGACAGCTGCGGCTGCGAATGGCGAATATATATATATATATATATATATATATATGCACACCTACACACACATGATTTTGCGCACCCCTGCCACCCTGTAGCAGTATATCTGCTATAGGGCGGTGGGGATGTGGTTAATTTGCTATCATTTGTTCTGACACTAGTCAACAAAAATGCAGTCCATTGTCAGCCCACAACAGGACTTAGGAGCTGAGTGCATTTCTGGCAGATCAACGGTTATTTTTCTGTACTTGGATGATCTTTAAAATTATACTAAATGTCCCCCCCAAAAAAAAGACATACTTACCTGCTCTGTGCTATGGTATTGTACAGAGCAGCTCCGATCTTCCTCTTCTCGGGTCCCCCACCAGAGCTCCTGTTTCCTCCCCCTGCTGAGAGCCCCCAGAGAAAGTTGCTTGCTCTCTGGGCACTCGTGCATGCTCACTCCTGAGCTGCCTCTGTATGCCGTAAGGCACACAGAGCTCAGCGCGGCTTGGTCCCACCCCCCGATCCCTCCTTACTGGCTGTGATTGACAACAGCAGGATCCAATGGCTCCCGCTGCTGTCTCAGCCAAAGGGGAAGGAGAGAGCCTCATTGCTGAATCGAGATGCACATTGCTGGATCAAGGTGCGACTGAAGGGGAGCTGCACACTGAAGGTTTTTTCCTTCATGCATAGATGCAATACAATTGCCCTTTCAGAAGCATTATTTTGTGGATGGCTGTTATGCTGTGCTGTGGCATCTAAAAATAGTTAGGCCTAAAAATATTTCTTGTCTTTTTTTTTTTACTTAAAAATCTTTAACATAGATACCCTGTTTTAGCTTCTATACAAAATGTAGATTAAAATGTTCTTTGTTCAGCTACTTTCCATATCAGAGAAGGTTTTCCCGGAAGATCATTGGTTTTTAGTATTATTGAAAGACTTGCTTAATACAATTCTAGGGGCGTATTTATAAAGCAGTGAATGTGATGTTCAAAATTCACAGCAGGGGACTCTTCCTGATGCATGTGTTTTAAATAAGTGAATGATTAAAGCAGAGCTCTACTCACATTTAGTCCAGCGATACAGCATCCCAGAGCTTTCCGTCGGGCGATGACATCTTTGGGCAGCTGGTTTCTGGGTACCAATTGCCGACCACTTTCATCAGTCAGGAATGGGCAGGAGTTTAGCCAGCTTGGCATTGCCAAATCTGTACAATGAGCTGTGCATGGGTAGCTCACTGGACAGGTAAGTAACTTTAATTCCATTCAGGCTGATTTACTAAAATTGTGAATGCAAAATCTGGTTCAGCTCTACATCGAAAACCAATTAGCTTCCAGTTTTTTTGGCAAAGCTTAACTAGCTGCCGACCGCAGATAGCCGAATGACGGCTGCACTGCGGCCGGCCAGTTCTGAGTGGACGTCATATGACGTCCTACCAGAACGCGCTCTCCTGCGCGCCCCAGGGGGCGCGCACCCGGCGATCTCCGTGATCGCTGTGTCCTACGGACACAGCTGATCACGTGATGTGGTAAAAGGCCAATCACAGCGGCCTTTTACCACTTGATCAGCGGTGTCCAATGACACGCTGATCAGAGGGAAATGCAAGTGCCGGTTCTCGGCTGCACTTTCCTCACGCTGTCAGATCGTGAGGAAAGTACTGCCGAGAACCGGCAGTTGTCAGAGCGGGGATCGGCACCGATCATCAGGGCACTGATGATCAGTGCCCTGATGATAGGTGCCCAGCAGTGCCACCCGCAAGTTCCGCCCACCTGTGCCCAGCAGTGCGCCCACTAGCTCCGCCCACCTGTGCCCAGCAGTGTACCCACCTGTGCCCAGCAGTGCACCCACCTGTGCCACTCTGCAGTGTCACACACCTGTGCCCAGAAGTGCCACCTACCTGTGCCCAGCAGTGCCACCCACCTGTGCCCAGCCACCTGTGCCCACCAGTGCTACCCACCTGTGCCCACCCACCAGTGCTGCCCACCAGTGCCACCCACCAGTGCAGCCCAGCAGTGCTGCCAGTCAGTGCCACCAGTCAGTGCCCAGGGGTTGTGCCAGTCAGTGCCGCCAGTCAGTGCCGTCTATCAGTACCCATCATCAGTGTCACCTATCAGTGCCGCCTATCAGTGCTGCATATTAGTGCCGCCTATCCGTGACACCTCATTAGTGCTGTCTATCAGTGCCACCTATCCGTGCCACCTCATTAGTACTGCCTATCAGTGCCCTTTAGTGCTGCCTATCAGTGCCCATCAGTGCTGCCTATCAGTGCCCATCAGTGCTGCCTCATCAACGCACATCAGTGAAGGAGAAAAAATACCTGTTTGAAAAATTTTATAATAGAAACAAAGAAACTTTTTTTTTTTTCAAATTTTTTGCACTTTTTTTATTTATAGCGCAAAAAGTAAAGTGCCCAGTGGCGATTAAATACCACCAAAAGAAAGCTCTATTTGTGAGAAAAAAATGATCAAAATTTCATATGGGTACAATGTTGCATGACCGCGCAATTGTCAATCAAAGTGCGGCAGCGCTGAAAGCTGAAAATTGGCCTGGTAAATAAGGGGGTATAAGTGCCTGGTAGGCAAGTGGTTAAAGAGTTACTGAACCCAGGACCCTGCATTCACTATATCTGGTCTCCCACAGTACACAGAACATGGAAATGCAATTTTTTTAGTAAATATAAACTGCTAAATACCTTTTCTCATCAGCGGTATATAGCGGTTTTGTGACTTCTAACAGTGCATCCATGCACAGCTGCACCAGATTATGCACTCTTCAGTGTTAGTAAATCAATTTCAGCATATTTATTATGCATTAAAATCATGCCTGTTCACCCATTTTTATTTTTGCCATAAAGTTCCACTTTAACCACCTGTGACTGGTTGGTGAATACAGAGTTTCACTGCTTTATAAATACGCCCCTATGTTTCTGAGGCAACTCTAGGTAGAAAGTACTACAAGTATGATTGAAAATAGACAAAAATATATCTAGTTTGGAAAGTACAATAAAGGTTTGGAGTGATAAAGGGTGATAAAGAGAATGCTTTATCCTGCATCCTACTGACTTCAGGATTTGAAGGATTTAAAATATTTATAGGTGATATAATTTTTCAAGACATGCCAGGTTTCTAAACATGTTACAGCCCTCCTTATTTATAATCCAATAGCACCAAAACACTATTACCATTATTACTGTTGCTGATTTACAAGAACTAACACAAAAAGAATCACCCACAACGACCGATTAGATTTCAGCTTTTTAAAGCAAGTCTGAAAATGAGCACCCAATTTAAAATCTACTACTAATGCGGGAAACAACTAGTTTTCTACCATGACTTTCTTCATTTGTTTTTAATTAACTTTACCCTGTGGTATAATGTAGAATGTAGTGGTTATCACTTACTAAATTACATGGGTGGCATATAAACACATAAATCTATAAGCTATAATAAACTATAACAAAGCTATAATGGTAATTGCATAAAGATAAACAAAAATCACCCCCAACTAAAGCATACATGTGAATTTCCGACTATCTTTATTCTTTAAGGGGCTCTCCTCTTCTCCGCCACTTCCATCCAGGACCTCCATACTGCCCACTCTTCTCAAAATAATTTCTTCCAATGGATTTTCTCGTTCCTACATGAAGAAAAGTTGGATTGGTGAGATCATCATCTCTAGATCTCTTTTCAGTAGGATTTCTAATATAAGAAATATTCTTAAATCATTATTTTAGTATGTTGCATGACTTCACTTGTGCACAGTTTATAAAAAATACAAAAACCTGCCCTGATGTATCCAAAAAGAGGGTGAAGGGAGCATTACATAGGGTGTCAAGGGTTATTCATTATAATAAAACAATACCATGGAATTTAATAGTTATTTAAGGTTTGTATACAGGGAATTCTAGTGATTGATTACATGTGATTTTTCATGCTAATATAACCATTTATGCAAATCATTACTTTATATATTTGTTTTTACAAAAAAAACTCTTTTCCTGAATACATTTTAACAAACATACATCTCTACTAGGGTAACAAAATACATTATAAAATAGTTCACAAGATTGTGGGTAAGCAAAAAATGTAAATGTAGTTGTTAATTTAAATTTAACTTTTTCTTTTCTATATTTCTCCATGTTATTCCTCATAGCAAGTGTTGATTCACATTGCATACAGACTGGTAAACAGATCTTCCAAAGTTTTTTTTCTGGTAAAGCTGTGGAAACAACAGTTCTCTTTATAAATGCAGTTATTATGTCAAAGGTTAAACAAAGCTATCTTCTGATTGGTCACTACGGGCAGCAGTCCTATATCAACTTTTCTCCAGTTTTTACATGTTAGCCTCTAAATTTGTTTGTGCCTATACTGAGTTAATATTGTAACACACAGATCTGAAGCCAAAATAAACCATGTGATTTCTGTACTGATAGAGTAACTTACCAGTCTCTCGGTGACTCTCTGTAGGGCATCGTACCACTCCTGTACAACAGACTCCTTGTCAGACTGCAGCAGGAACTCGTTGCCTGTTACCATGCGAAGCTGCAGAGGACACATATCACATATGCATAAAGTTGGGTCAAAGCCAGTTTGTGCAGAGGATGATAAAGCAATTCCCGTAGTATCTGACCACCGGAGCACTCAAGAGACAATAGAGTACTCTATTAAGCAGGGCAATCAGGATGTAAACTTCACAGACTCCATTACTATATGCATCCTAAGAGCTGTCAGGCAGTCCTACCTAACTAATATACTGCCAACCTGCCTTTAGTGTTGGATTATAATTGATTAAAGGTGAAGAAAAAAAATAACTTTTACACATTTTATTTAAATATTTTAATTCATATATTTTTTTAAGTGAGAAAGGAAACTCTATACATTTCTATCCATTCTTCCATCTTGTAGCTGTATTGGTAAAAACTTTCCATACTAATAAGTATCTCAAGACCAAAAGTCCAGGACTAAATATATTCTTGAATTGGGATGACAGAGCACTAGAATTTAAACTTGGTAGCTGCTTCGACTGTATCTAATGATTTGAATAGTGTGGCAGTCCACTACTGCCCTTTGGAGCCCCAGTGAGGTTCCTGGGGGAGTCATCCTGTATGGACAGAAAGAAAGAGGTCACCAAGCTGTAGGGACTGGTCCAAATATGATTTTTTAATTAATTTTACCAAAAGCTAACAGCCAATGCCTTATGGGGAGTCATGTACAAATGCCTGTTAATCAGGTGTTCATTTTATTGTGCAAGAGAAATCTGAACAGTTGGTTAATCCTGGATTTTAATTCTTTGTAAACAGTCATTTAAAGCATCCTCTGCAGAGTTGTCTGGCAGCTGACCAAAGCATTAAATATATGGCTGTAAAAATAAATGCAGAAAAATGAATATTAAACGCATAAAATGTTATAATATGAGAATAAAGTCCGTGTGACAGTATATAAGGAACAGGTAGTGTGTGTCCCAACACCTATGCAATATATGCAATAAAACAAATATTTTAATCAACATTCAAATGAGTGCAGAGAGTGATGTTGGTATCAATATTCCGATAGGTGACTTCTCTAATCCCAGTGATAACTGTAATCCGGTAATGTGCGGGAAAATGGTAAGATTGCACACTCACCAGAGGCGTAATATGAATGCGCATATGAATCAAATAAGCCCGAGGTCCCCTCTGTCCTGGGAAGGAAGCAGCCTGGAGTGGATAACCTCTTCTTAGAGATGGAGTAGCACTTCCAGAGGTCCCTTTAGATCTGCAGTGAGGGTCTGCAAAAGGTATCTCTCCTCTGGGCCCTGGGATGGTCACCTTGGGTTCCTGGGGGATTAAGTGCTCGGTACGGAGCAAAAAATGGTGCCCATAGTGTAGTATTTCACATTCAATTAAGTTTATTAAATAGTAAAAAGGTAAATGAACACACATTTAAAAGATACCCCATAAATCAGGAAAGGTTTGATATTAAGAGTAATTAAATCCTCAGGTAGATATATGCAGCTTGAAAGATGCTTAGTGCACTAACCAGCTGGGTTTCAAAGATGGCAGCCGGACCTCCGTGATCCGGTGGCGTGACGTCATGGCTTGCGGGGCTCCTCCTTAACACGTTTCGTACAAAACGTACATTATCAAAAGGGGTGTGCCATGACACACCCCTTTTGATGTGCGTTTTGTACGAAACGCGTTAAGGAGGAGCCCCGCAAGCCGTGACATCACGCCGCCGGGGCTTTCATTTAATCCCCCAGGAACCCAAGGTGACCATCCCAGGGCCCAGAGGAGAGATACCTTTTGCAGACCCTCACTGCAGATCTAAAGGGGACCTCTAGAAGTGCTACTCCATCTCTAAGAAGAGGTTATCCACTCCAGGCTGCTTCCTTCCCAGGACAGAGGGGACCTCGGGCTTATTTGATTCATATGCGCATTCATATTGCGCCTCTGGTGAGTGTGCAATCTTACCATTTCCCGCACATTACCGGATTACAGTTATCACTGGGATTAGAGAAGTCACCTATCGGAATATTGATACCAACATCACTCTCTGCACTCATTTGAATGTTGATTAAAATATTTGTTTTATTGCATATATTGCATAGGTGTTTGAACACACACTACCTGTTCCTTATATACTGTCACACGGACTTTATTCTCATATTATAACATTTTATGCGTTTAATATTCATTTTTTTGCGTTTATTTTTACATTTTTATATTGTGTATTTTAGCTTCAGGCATCCGCATCATATTTTATTATTATTTATAGCGCTGCACTACATGTTTCTTATATGATTTTAGAAGGTTATATGGTTTTCCTTTTTAGTGTTCTAGCCGCTTTCCATACTTTCCATACCGCTCTCTGAACCCATATGTTTTACATTAAATATATGGCTGTCTACCTACATAAACAGTCATTTTTATTCTTCCTAAATAATGTAAGCTTTTAACTTTTATGCTAAACAGTTGGATCCTTTAGATTCAGCTATAAAACTGTAAAACCTATAACCAGAAAGAGACTGGAATTTTAACCTAATCATCTTACATACAGGCCAAATGACCAAACTGGTCGTCTAATGTTGGACAACGATGAATGAATTCCAAACTCCATGTGACTATATGAAAAATACAGGTCATATAATGTTATATTTACCCCTTTACTCTATAGATGGGTCATGTATGGTCACTTACATGAATTACATTCTTTTTGCTGGACATATCCTGGGCCCAGTCAATGAAGGCACCCCTGAGGTCCATGCTGCTCTCAGGTTTACTATTAGATGGTTTCTAAAAGACAAAATATGTTACAGTAAACAGTTAAATCAGGATTCCAGTCAAAGCTTTTTTTTTGTTGTTTTGGATGGAGTGGGTAAGTATTTAGGTATGTGACAAGTTTTATTGCTGTCTTTGTCCCTTTTTCAGGAGATTTCTACTCACTTTATTTCACAGACAGAAATTGAGGTAGCAGCTGAATGAGTAAGGTTTAGAATTGTGGTTCCCAAGGTGGGTGATACCACCCCTTGGGGAGTGCTGGAATGATCCTGGGAGCATTAGCGTGCAATTGGGTGGAGTTGAATAAAAATAAGGGGGCAGTGGAAGTATAGGAAAAGAACAGAAGATAAGAAAATTTTGAAAAACCGCTTGTACATGTTTCATCTGTTGTGTAAATAGAAATAAAGTTGTAGCGATTACTTTATTTTACAAAGAAAAAAACACACATAATGCAAGGTATAATTGATCAGTGGTCAAGTCCACTGACAGGTCTTAAAGCCCAAAAGTGGGTTGTGCTAGCACTGCAAGGGTTAAGTGCTAATTTTTTTTCCACGGGAGAAGAGAAACCCTTATACTTACCCAAACCTCCATTCCACCTGCAAACAACGCTCCCTCACGATCCAGTGGTGGACTGTTCCTGGCGTACTCATGTCCAGAGCAGGGCTATGGATGCTGCTCTGGGCTTGATGATGTCAGGACTTAAAACAGCTAGAGCGCGGGGGTACAGGAGATGCAGGGAGCAGGCTTGGGCAGATGTAAGTACATCTACTTTAATCTTTCCCCTAGAAATATAGATACATAAAAGAGCACACATTTATCACTGCATCTTTCTGTTTGCTTGCTTAAAGAAGGTAGATTTCCAGGCGTGCTGAGTATTTTTTTGTTCTGAAAAGTGGGTGACAGGACAAATATGTTTAGGAACCTCTCGCATTTGTATTGCTATTTGAGACCTTGTTAAGTGAATGTGTCCTCCTTAGCTGTCCCCAATTTAAGAGCGTTGGTATTTTTAAATATATTATTTTTTATTTTCAGCAAGTTCTGTAAATCAGTGCACAGTAGTACAAGATCAAAGTAGTCACCATATTATCATCCACACATGTTGACATATGAAGGAAAGACCTGAATTACAATCTGATTTAATTTAATTTAATCAAGTGATAATAAATTGTGACCATTCCATTTTATGCCAGTAGACTTGTTGGCACAAAAGCACTAATGCAAATAATATATGTGAATATTATATCCCTCATTGGTACCAGGTATATAATCCATAACATATAATTCATAATGCCTTACCCAGCCAGAAGGAGCCTGAACCTTAGGGTCTTTGTAGAACACTAGAGTGTTTCCAGTCAAAACTACTAAAGACGTAGTCCAATTTTTCCTGCAACAAAGGAAAGAAAATTACAAAAGTGGTAAATTTTAACTATGCATTTAATTTGGTATACCTTTTGGTACCACTGGAATATTTAGCAGTTCCATGGTTGCAACAACTAAAATATCACTTTTATAAACAATAGTATCAGAAGTCTGTGATTACTCTGAAATTAAGCATTACAGTCAAATACAACTAGCAATAATGTACCAAGCCTAGACAATGTCAAAAATGAATAATAAATGTAGCAAAAAAATTAATTGGCCCATTAACACCAGCCTGGTCTGCTGCAGGGTATTAAACATATGCACACTGTGTCAGATGATAACATTTGTTGTGTTATGGCACCCTATTCAAATAACACAATGGACCAATATTTATGCATGCAACATTTGTAGGAGTACACTGCAATGCACATCAGTTGGCAAGGTGCATTGGGGTGCCATTCATTCTGAAACGCATCAGCGTATGTACAGTAAGGTTACTGCAATGCAATAGTGTGAACTTGCATTGGCAGAAAACATATCTAAGATAACAATGCTGAAATGCAGCCACATTGTAGTGCTTAAAGTACCAGTGTTAGTTTTCTAACTGATCTCTGTGTCCCTGTGTGTAGTTTTTTAGACCCGAAGTCCAAACTTTAAAGTGAACTTGCATTGGGTTAAAATAATGCACGAAGCCCGGACATTGTCATGTCAATACTGAATGTAGCAAGCAAAAACTGCATTGGCAGAAAAAATATTGAAAGTAACAATGCTAAAGTTCACTCACTCCTGCAAGTATTTGTGTTAATCTTTAAATTGATCCATGTGTAATCCTATCGCATCCTAGGCCCAAGCTGCACATAGGGCCTTGATTTTTGCCCAAGTTGAAATAAATCCCATCTACTACCCCATTCCGTTTTTTTTTTGGCCTGACCCCCATCAATTAACTGTTTGGCATCTGACACAAAGCAGTCACAGAACACGTAACATAGCAAGAGTACACACAGACAGAACATACAGATAGACTACACAAAACATGCACAGTCTGAGAACAAACACAGCACACCGAGCACATGACATCTGCAAACATGTAGCACACAGGACATGCACTGTACATCATACAATAATGGAAAAATAACTTTTCAAAATAGCCCTATACTTGAACAACAACTAAAGGATTAGAAAGGATTAGGGAGTGACTATTGAATGACACTTTTTACTATGCGCCTAAAGTAGGTAAAACTATAGGTAAAACTTTTTAATTCAGATTGAGTAAGGGAGGGTTATAACCCGTCAGATTTTCTTTCGCCATCTGTGTTTCTTTGCGGAGATTTCTCTTCACTTCCTGTCCCATAGCCAAACATGAAGTGAAAGGAAAATTAAGGGAATTTTTTGGGGATCCCCAGGTTACCAGAACTAGTAGAGGGTGAATCTCCTTAACAAGGGCACAGACAGCAATAAAAGCTGACAAGCGTACTAATCCCTCTGCACTCTGTTCAAACCTAAAAAAAAGGTTTTGCCTTTAATTATACGTTAAGCTTTATTTGGGGAAAGATCACACCACAATGGGATAGATTTACTAAAACTGGGTCAATCAAAATCTGGTGCAGCTGTGCATGGTAGCCAATCGTCTTTGAACCTCAGCTTCTTCAATTAAGCTTTGGCAATAAAACCTGGAAGTTGATTGTTTTTTCTGCAGAAGTGCACCTGATTTCGCACTTTCCAGCTTTAGTAAATAAACCCCAATGTGTTTTATGTCATCAAGAAAGTTGAACGGTAGAATAGCAGTGTCTTTGTTTTGAGCACCAAACCTTTAATTTAATTCAACATCTACAGTATCATAATGTTAGTATGACTAGAACACATCGAATAATGGTTAAAAGATTAGTGCATTTTGATAAGATAAGGGTTCTGGAAAGACAGTAAAAGTAATCTGAAGTAGAAGAAGCAGAGGGCTGAGAGAGGTGTTCTTTGTATAGAAGAGAAGAAATGCTTACTTTAGTTTTCTTCCACCTTCTGCTATTTTTGTCTTGTTTAACTGTCCTGCCTTTTCCACCTCCTTAAAAAAAAAAAAAAGTTAAAACCACTTAAACAGAAACTCCAATACACTTATGAATAATATTATCTCCAGTTCACGCAACAAATGTTAATACTTGTACAAGAATAATGTACATGAATATGTCACATAGAAACATAGTTCAGAGCGGCACTGGGGCCATACCAGACACTCCATTCACACTGCATTGAGAAATGTGGAGGGAGGATTGAGAGACATGCAGGGAGGACTGAGAGACATGCAGGGAGGACCGAGAGACATGCAGGGAGGACTAAGACATGGAATAGTATATGAGAGGGATATGGAAGGAGTACTCAGAGACATGGAGGGAATAATAGAAATATACAGTGGGATAACAAGAGACTTACAAAGGAAGGACTAAGATATGAAGGGGTATATGAGAGACACATAGTGGTGAAAAATTGAGATATACAGGAGTCCTATAGATTTCTATTAGGTTGCAAGTTTTTTTCTGCATTTTCTGTAAGCACACCAAAAGTCCCACATGCTGCATATTTGGCACACTTTCAGAAAACAGGAAAAAAAACTATTGGGCGGGGGTGACACCATGTTTTACCACACCAGGTGACACCAACCCTAGTGACGCCACAGGGGAAAGCTCACTCCTGTGATGGTGAAGAAGAACAGTAATAGCTGGGCTCACTTAGCAACATCCTAGCAACATCCTGGGAGTTTTCAGGTCAGGCGTCAGGAAGTACATACTCCTTTTGCAAGGGCATTATTAAAATTTAGTCGAAACTGCACAGCTTGTTTTTATTTACAGACACCTCTTATCTTCATAGGTAATTTTTTGGTAAAGGTGAATTACTGTAAACCTTTAAACATGTTCAGCTAGGCTTTGAAAACAAAAGATAGAAGCTGATTGATTGCCATGCACAGCTACTCCAAGTTATGACCGCTCCAGTCTTAGTCCCAGCATGTCTACTTTTCTTGTACTATATACAGTATTTTGAGATACAAGGATGTGACGGGAGTCACTTTGGGTGGGGGGCCCATGGAACCCAGCTCACTTTGGAGAGGTGGGGAGACCCCTGTCTCAGTTCCCCATATCCTTCTTATGTGTAAATCACCCTGTGCTTGTTAGGGGTACAGGGTGATCTGTCCTAATATTGGGGTGGGGGGTTGTTGATTGTTTAATGTCATGTGGCTGCATCCCATTGTTCTAATGTTTGTCTGGCTTGGGAGCAAACTATTATGGGATGTAAGTGTTTATGTGTATTAGCGTAGTGGGAGGGTGTCTCCAGCAGCCCTCCCTCCTGATGGGACTGCCTGCTGGTGGGAAGTTTGAATACCTGTGTGCCTCATAACTAAATGTAGATTGCCCCTCCCTGTGCCATTATGCAGGGTGGGGGGATTGTCCCCTGAGTGTATATATCTTGTATCTGTGTTCAAATAAAGTAGTCTGCTCTGTTTTACTTCAAGACTGGTGTCGTCTAGTCTTGTGTGGTGTCTGTTGTCGGTGTTCAGAAGGGGAAGCGGTATTTTAACGGAAGTACTCAAGCACAGTCTGGGTCGGTACCGTTACAAAAGACATTGGCAATTCTGAGTGGATTTATATAAATGCTATATATTGCTTCCAATGTAACATAGAAAAATAACTTACATGAGGCACATCCAAGACTGTGACCAGAGGCAGCTTATTCAGGTCAGCATTTATGTTTGCATTATTATCGTAACTTTCAGCTACAGGTATATGATGTTCTGAGAGATTCCTCCTGTGGTTTTTCTGTAAAACATATAAGCCATCTTTTAAACACGTAATTGATTAGTATTTCATCAATCTATCCACTGTTATCTGCTATTAAAGAGAGGTCGAGCAACTCCACCAAATTCCTGCCATTTGGATGTAAGTGCAACTGGATGGTGACACTGGTGACACTAGTAACACAGGACAGAAGATATTTTAGGGCCAGATAAAATGTTATGCTAGACCAGTTGCCTGAATTTACCAACTATATCCCTGATTGATGCTTGTTAAACTAGTGAGTAGAGTGTGGGGGGGGGCAAGCCGTTCTGTTTGTCTACATAGATGCAAACTCTTTGCCTTAGGATCGAGAACGCAAAAGTGACCACCATAGCAAGCAGCTTCTTATGGCGGCACGAGTGCTCTCGTGGGACCCCAGAAGAGAAGGACCGTGGCTACTCTGTACAAAACCACTGCACACAGCAGGTATGACAAGTTATTTTAATGAAAAAAAAGTAAAGCTTTAGAATCACTTTAATATGAGCTTTAAAGAGCAGGTGACAATATATTTTAATATGTATGAATAATTATATACTCATAAATTACATATAAATACATTTAATGTGCCTTATATTATAGTAATAACTTCTAATTTTACCCTGGGTCTGTGTGAATTGGAGAGGATCATAGACCTGGTGTAGCTAAGTTTTGGGAAGTGAAGATCAGACCTCAGAACATCACAGCTCGGACTGTTCAGACTGCTGCAGGAAGAAGACAAGCTGCTGATAGATGACATGTTCAGCTCTTCATATGACTGGGTGATCTGAAATCAGTACGATAAAGAAAATGTGACCATAGATACATATGTAATTGTATGCCAACCCAATGATTTCCTTGAATTTGACTTGATGAAAAACAAGCTAAACCACTTTGTTCTGGTAATCACAGTATCAAACACAATCAAGTGTTAATAAAATAAACAGATGTAGACAATGCAAAGAAATGCACTCAAGGCATTGATATACAATACTTTTCTGTAAAAATACTTCATGGCGTCTCATGGTTCCTGCACAAATTAGAACACTCTCTGAAGTCTAAAAATAAATTTTTCGCCCAACGTGCACAAGTTTCACCATTGCCGAGTATATGTTAAAGGGCTCTGATATGTTGTTGTCCTAGTACTGCATTACCACTACTGAGCAACTGCAGTGTCCAAAAAAAAAAATCAACCCACTTGATGAAGTATCCAACATACAGTTGCTTAAAAATGTATCCAAAACAATTTGATTCTGTGAATGAATTTCTCAAAGTGACCTTGTCACGCCTTTACTTTGTTCCCCCACCACACCAAGGACTTGCGAGAGCAAGAAAAGAGAGATAAATGTAAGGCTGGAGCTTACATAGGTCTAAGGCCTCTCTCACCAACCCCGTGTGAAAGCACTAGGGCCTGGTGATTTATCAGTCAGACATCCGAAACTACATTATGAGAGTAGAAGAGAAAGTCACATGCTCTCCACACCCAGAAATGTTGGGTTTTCCTTCCATGTAGCCATACTGAATAGTGGGTGAAAAGCTCTATATATACAGGGGAGGGGTTGGCATTTAAGCACTTGTAAAATTGACCAGATAATTTTTTTCTGCTATGGGCCTATGGATCTAGCAACAACTTTGTCACTATTTAAGATAACAAATTAATACCTATATTAGAGTATTTTAGCTTATTCTCTTGCAAAAATTACTTTAATTTCTAAGCATTTTATTGTATTATACTAGTATTACTGTAAATAAAAGAGGATTTTTTTTTTTCAAAAAGTTGTCTGCTTTATAATGATACATAGGAGTCTATTTAGAAAAGTTTTAACTTGATTTAGAAAAGGTTTAATTCAATAATGATTTGAAAAATCGAAATGAAAAAGTAAACAATCCGAAAAACAATATCTTAGAGGAGAAGGGGAGGCAGGAAAGAATTACAAGAGATTATGGCCACCTAAGGGTTACAGCTAAACTAAAGGCATTTTACAAATTGCACCCTTGCAGTGGGTCCCTTCCCCCTTCTTCCCCCCCCCCCCCCTCACATTGCAAGGATTAAATGCTCATTATGTCTAGGGGTGTGCAGTGCAGGCTCCATCGCATAACTTATAACCAGCTCCTGTGCCCTCCTTTCCTGCCTGAATCTCCAGCTCGTGGGCAAAGCCTCAGTGTCATCACATAACATATAGGGACATCAATCCTATATTAAATGTTGAAGAGGCTAGAGTGCAACCCTACAGGCTTCAGTGCGGGACTGACCCTTCTGGAGCCAAGAGTCTAGTAAGCATTCACATCCTTCTGTGCACCCCTGTACCTAATGAACTTTTACCCCTTGCAATGCAGAGGAACCTGTCTGTAAGGGTGACGTTTTTTTTTTTTCTGGAGTTGAGCTTTAATAAATGTGAACAAGTCTTCTTTTATAAGACACATTTTTATATGTAAGATTTAGATCCATGAGCATCTCTTTGATCAGCATATGAATGAATTAGATTAAAAAAATGTTACAATAATGTTGCTACATAGTACTTTTCAATGAAGCTTCATTAAACACAAGAGTGGCTGCAGCTGCTTCTGAAGCAAATAGTGAGACCCATTTGGGGTTCCCCAACCATAACTATGGAAAAGGACCAGGGTGTACATGTACAGCATACACCACTCAAGGTACATGGATGATGTTTTTACAACATGCAGCATACCATATGCCTTAGGTCCATAACTGGCTATTGAGCCATGTGAAATATGCTGTCATCTGTGCCAGTGTTCACATAATTTTGGGAAACCTGACAGCAGGTTCTTGTTGAGAGTGTTAGACAGAAAAGTCAGGCTTTTCAAAGGATCAAGAGAACCTACACATTTTTCTCAGCAATGACAGGCATTATGAAACAAAGCACCCTGGGATGTTTTCCAAGAACAGATCTCTATTTTATTAATTTATTTTATTTATTTCAGGTATGTAAACTGTCAATTTACAGAGCGCTTTACTTATGTATCGTACATTCACATTAGTCCCTAATCCTCAAGGGGCAATCTAAGGTTTTAAATATATACTGTACTGATGGAATTTCCACATAGCAATTAGTTAGCTCTCAGATTACTGAAGTGAGATCACTGCTCATTACTAGTGATTATTCTTTGCTATAGGCTAGGGTGATTTTCATTTACCTGGCAGTACTAGGGTCATGGTTTGAATCCCAACCAAGACACCACCTGCCTGGAGTTTGCATGTTCTCCCTGTGCCTGTGTGGGTTTCCTCCGGGTACTCCAGTTTCCTCCCACACTTCAAAGACATGCTAGTAGGTTAATTGGATCCTGTCTAAATTGGCCCTAGTATGTGTATGTATGAATGTAAGTTAGGGACCTTAGATTGTAAGCCCCTTGAGGGTTAGGGACTGATGTGAACATACAACATATATGTAAAGCACTGCATAAATTGTACTTGTAATAAATAAATAATAAATAAATGAATCAATAAATAAATTTACTATTTTCCCTTCCTGAACTCGCTTATTAATTGGCTAATACTGTGGACCTGTTTTTCTGTAACTGTTATATAGTCATTTTATCATGGAACTGTTCTAAATGTAGTTAAACACCCCAAATTACCACATTCTATAGAATGTGTGGCAATTTCAGTGACTTGAGCTGGAATCACAGTAAGGACACTTTGGAACATTGCTATGATAAATGTCACAAGCAGTGAATTTTTTCCAATCCAGAGACAGAATACTCCTTCAACAACAGTCTATTAAAAATCAGTTGTCACTGATAATTCATGTATTTCACAAGCAAAATATGTTGAATTAGTGTTTGTGCATGGGAATTTCCCTGGTTAAAATTCCAAGCCTGTACTTAAACATTAAGCAATCACTGTTAAGTTTGCAGACTGGGAGCAGTACTGAAGATAGGCTTGTCATCACGGGCGTTTGCTTGCATTCTGGCCTTGAATAGTTATGTGAAATTTCTATTACTTTTAAAGTGCGTTGTCAGGTAAATAATTTATTGTAAATACATATACAAAGTACTTCTGTACAAAAAGACAATAGTACAAAGATCATTGAAGCTCTAACATTGTATCCAGCATGCTATACAGTTTGAGCTCTTTGCTAATTTTGTATGCAGGCAAAGGAAAAACAACGTCCACATCCCTAGTTATGTGGACCAGACAGCATTTGCACAGAAAAAAAATTGGTCATTTTCATCATTAAGTTTCCTTTATATTGGTTTTTCACTCTAACAAATGCAATCATTAGCCCCTTCACACCTATGGGTAAAGCAAACGCCTAAGCACAATTTTGCAACTTTGACCTGTGTTAAAAAAAACTTTACATATCATCACAACTACTTTGTGTATTGAGGAGGATTATACCTCGAGTTTTTTTCCAGGACAAATTTGGCTTTTATTTGTTGGTAAATGACAATGGATATCTCCTGATTTGTGTTTTATTACCAAAGGAAAACTGGCCCAAAATAAAAAAAAAACCTTTTATTAAATGTAGCTGTATATTTATTGGTACCATTATAACCTACCACTAGAGATCAACCCAAAATAATTTCTCCTGCTCCTGATGAATGCAGCAATACCACATATCTGGATGTTGCTTGTTGTTTGTACCCGAAGTACGGCCCAGAAAAGAAGTAGTGCGCAATTTGCTATTTTTAATTTCTGCTACTGACACTGATGCTAATTTAAACATTAAAGAAAAAACCTGACCCCTCCCCCCCCAAAAAAAACCTGACCCTGACCCTTGACCCTGACCTTGTCCAAAACACTAACCCTGGCACAGACCTGGATCAAACGTTGATCTAGGTAATTTTGTTTGTTTTTTTGTTATTTTTATTTATTTATTTTCTTATTTGTTTTTTACTCACACTTGTTTTTCTTTTCTCTCTGAAAGGACAGAGAGACATTCAATGTATCTCTCTCCTCCATTCAGAGAGAGAAAAGAGAGAAAACAAGGGGGGTGGGCTTCACAGTGACTGATCACTGTGATAGCCAATCAGAGGCTATCACAGTGACTGATGACTGTGATAGCCAATCAGAGGCTATCACAGTGATGGCGATATAAGCTGAGCTGCACATGGGCAGCCCAGTTTACATGCCACAGAAGTGAGCAGACAGGTAGGTACTGTATATTTTCTTGTATGTCTCCTCTGCAATAATCAGCCTACCTGCTTGCACGTTTTTGTAAATTACCTTCAGTTCCTCTTTAACATCCCGGTCACACCGATCCCGACTATGAAATCGTGTGACTTACAGTGAAGTCGCATGATTTTAAAGTCAGATGACATGCCTATTTGAGGTTCAATTTGCAAGACATCTGACACAGATGTCTATACAAATCGCACCAAAAGTAGTGCATGCACCACTTTAGAAATCGATGCGGCTCGGACAAAGTCAGAATTGCACCGATATGACTGCTGTAATTGCTGACAATAGGGTGTGACTTGCCATGCGTTTTGCAAGTCGTATGCCATGCAAATTGCATGCCAAGTCACACCCAGTGTGGGTGGCCTAAATCAATCGGTTTGGATCCGCTTTAACTGTTTCCAAAACATTAAAAGCATGTCTCTAGTGATAACTGTCATAAATTTCAGTGTGCTTATATCAGCTTTCAACTCAACTTTGATAACCTCAAATAGTTAGCTGATGACATGTGCAGCACTGTGGCAACTGCAGATCTAAATAGAGGTTAAGATGGTACCATTTTCAGCTGTAAGGCTACGGTCACACCTATGCAGTTCGCATTTGATCCATTTCTGCAGTGC